ATTTCAGTGACGAGTTTCGATGTTCAGTCTCAGTCTTGTCTTTTTTAAACAGCATATTTGTACTTGTAGACGGATATATTGCAATTGGATTTATTGTTGCTCAAGTCCTTAGATATGCCAGTATTGTCAGGTAAAATGTATGTGTTTTTGTAAAGGTTGTGTGCACCATCTTTGTCGCAGCAGATGATATAATTCATAAACTTTGACTCTGAGGAACTTTTGTTGCTCTGGTTCAAATGCATTCTGGAATCTGATGTCTCTATCTTCTTATGACAGCATAAACAAATTACAACAATGTATTGCTGTTTTGAGTTTGAATTTGTTGTAAATGCATGTCCATGCAAATTATAGAGCTTGGGTGTTGTTTCAGTTAGTGAGTTAAACAGACTGGACACAGTGGAACTCGGATTCGACGAAGTTGTCAGTCCTGGCCTTCGATTTCGTTGAATCCAAGTGTTCACTATGGCAAATATGAGGTTTTTGTGTAGATAATTAGAGGCATCGAGCAAGTAATTGTGTATATATGTAAAATGTATTTGACTTTGTCAATCAAAAGTAGTTTGGTGTCAAATTAGAGGCCTTTTCATTTTTTTTTTTATTCCAAAGAAAGAATTGCTGGAAAATTCCATGGACATTCACTGAACCCTACCAAGCACACAATGTGCAAAAGGGCCGATTTGTTAAAATGCACATCTGTGTCATTTATCATCTATAAAACGCATTATTTGCCAAACAAGTTATGTTGCTGTGTAGAACCTAGCATATGGCAACATTTGATTCCACAGTGCTGAGCGCAATTCATTACGTAGGTCTATGTCAAGATTAGCTTATCATTGTAATATTGATCAGTAACCGGGGGGAAAGAATCACTGTGTCGCGATTGTATCTCTACTGACATTCCGCGTCCAGACGGTTTGGGTGCGTGATAACAACGCATATGTTGGTGTGAAAGTGAAAGGAGGCTGCCGATTAGTTGCGTAGAGAAGTTCCCCCTGCAAGTGACTTTGTTGAATCCAGGCTTGCTCATTTATGTTTTCGTTGAATCCGAGTTATTTTTATTGATTTTTATGAAATAAAAAATTGGGGAATCCAACTCATTTAGTTGAATTCGAGTTCTTTGAAACAGACAAAAGAGTAGATCATCACTTCGCACTTTGCTCTGCGGTAGTCTAGAGACATGTGAAAGCTCAATGCCACTGTCATCTTGAAACTCACAACATGCCGTCATGGGCTCATGTGTATGGCCTCTGCGAACTTTTTTTTGCAAAGACAAAGACAACATATTAGAAAAGGGGACGGAGATTTCATTTTCCTTTGACTTATTGCTGTTTTCAGATTAAACGTGTTCGGTTTAAGCAGACTCCACAGCACCTGTATCCGTGCAGCATGGGTTTATCCAATTATAATTGAGCTAAGCCCGTTTACCGATAGAGGTTCGAACAGACACTGAAAATGATGAATTCCCAAGATATGTCAATGCTCGATACATCTCTGCGAGTGAGGCTTTTTGGAGACTGTTTGAAATTGAAATCCACAGTAAATATCCACCAGTGGAAAAGTTTCCCTGCCACCTTCCAAATCAACAAACAATTTTGTTCCAGCTTGAAGATATTCAGCAAGTTATTGGTCAAGGACCCCCAGCAACAACATTGACTGGGTTTTTTTTTCCATATATGAATTCAGAAGACCCAACAGCAAGAAACTTCATCTATCCAGATTTTCCTCATTATTTCACTTGGAATAACAAAGACCACAAGTGGCAGAGAAGGAAACGAGATGTGAGAAACCCAGATAATCCAGAGGAATGTAGAATAAACTGCATTGGGCGCATCCAAACTGTATCGCTCAGTCCACACCAGGCAGAGCTCTACTACTTGCGACTTTTACTACACCACAAGCCTGGGACAATCAGTTTTGAAGATCTGAAAACAGTAAATGGATCAAGTTGTACATCTTGTCAAGACGCATACAACCAACTTGGACTGCTCGGTGATGACACCGACAAGGATGAAGCAATGCAAGAAGATTCTACCATAAGATTTGAACCCCAGTTACGTCTTGCCTTTACAACCATTGTCATCTATTGTCGCCCAGCTGATCCTCTCTCATTTTAGCACAAGCACAAACTGGAACTGTGCTAGGACATCAAGATGAGAGACTAGGTCACAGAGTTGAAACCCCAGATTGAGAACCAAGTGTTGCTACAACTTCAACACATTCTTGATAATGATGGGTTGAATCTGCAGACTTTCAGCTGCCACCTGCAGAACATAGTCACGTTGAGGGAGAACAACCAAGAATTGTCCACGTTAAATTTTGACACTAACAACCTGAAAGAGAAGATGAGTCAAGAGTACCCAAAGCTTAATGAAGAACAAAGAGTCGTGTATGATGCTGTGATAGAGTCAGTTGTACAGAAGCAAGGCAAGATATTTGCCTTGGAGGCAAGTGGAAGGACTGGGAAAACCCACACTATAAACCTGATTCTTGTGACTGTGCGTTCCTTTAAGAAGATTGTCCTTGCTACAGCTCTGTCACTACTGTCAGGCATTGCAGCAATTCTGCTCTCAAATGGCAGAACATTACACAGCAGATGCAAAATACCTCTGTGTGTGAACGAACAGTCCATGTGCAGTGTGAGTCCCCGAGATGCCAGTGGCACTTTATTACGTCAAACAGAGATGCTCATCATTGATGAAGTATCGATGGGCCACAAACACATCTTTGAAACCATAGACCGAGCACTTCAAGACATCATGTGGGAATAGCTCTGTTCGGTGAGCTAACTGTGCTGATGTCGGGTGACTGGTGCCAAATATTACCAGTAGTTCGTCATGGCTCAAGATGATAGTCAATGCAACCCTGAAATCATCGTATCTGTGGGAGCATGTTAATGTGCTCAAACTGACAAGAAACATAAGGGTTTTGCTTACAGGTGAGACTGCTGATTTCTTCAACATTGGTGATGGCGCACACAACGTATGCAAGCAAATCGGGGAGTTTGCGATAAAACTTCCAGATGACATCACATTCACAGTAAACAGCGAACGATAGTTGATAAATTTTGTCTTCGGTAACTAACGGGTAACTTGCAGTCTAACATAAATCCTGACTGGCTGGCTTCCCGCTGCGTCATCTATCCCACCAATACAGAAGTAGACGGAATCAACAACCTGATCATGCAGTCCTTTCCTGCAGAAGAAAAAGTCTACAGGAGCAGTGATTCGGTGGAAGAAAATGAACACCAATACCCCATCGAATTTATCAATTCTCTATGTCCGTCAGGTATGCCACCCCACTTACTGACATTGCGGAAAGACAGCATTGTCATGTTGCTGAGAAATCTGGATCCCACAAACGGCTACTGCAACGAGACTCGATATGTGGTTCAACACCTTCATCAACATGTCATTGATGCTGTCGTTGCTTGCCGTCAACATGCCGGAAAGAGACTTTTCATCCCAAGGATTCCCCTCATGCCTTCAGACAACATATTTCCCTTCCACGTGCAACGGAAACAATCTCCGGTTAGACCTGCTTTTGCAATGGCAAAACTCAGGGACAGACTTTGAAAAGGATATGGGTTTCTTTACTGGGCGATTTTTTTTCCACCTGGACAATTATATGTCGCAATGAGTCGTGTTGGGTCCATGGACTCTATTATGATACATGCAAACAGACCTGCAGCCCAAGACGGAGTTCCAGATGGCGCATAGACCAGCAATGTTGTCCACACAGAGGTCCCACGGCAATGAATCAGGTACCGGTACAAACGTTTTATCTTGGGCTTTCCTATCACTATATCACTGTTCGTAGAATGGGTCTGTGTCTAGTATTATTAATGGTATTAATAGCCCCTTCAACACACACAAAAACTAGCTTTGCTGGAATTCCAAATTTATCAACCAATTTTACTGTTCCTATTCCCTAGAAACTTAAATCGTTTGTCCTGAATCACTTCATGAACTTCATGCACCTGTAGGTTGGCACAGTGCATTATCATGTTCATGCCCCTTTCAAACATTTTTAAAGTTTTTTTTTTAATATTTCAAGAGATTCAAATTATGTAAGCTAAGAGCCCCGAAACTTTCTCAAACAACCCAATCTCAAGAACACCCTGTCGGTGATTCAATTGAGCACTTTAGTCCAGCATAAAGTCAACTAAACTAATGGTGCTCATTATTCATAGTATGTCGGCAAAAAAATTACATGTATATGATGAATGAAACACCTGTTAATGAGAACCTACATATAAAGCACCAGGGTTTCAATCTCACAGCACTGGTATGTCTGGTTTTACCATGGACCAACAAACAACAAAATAAAACTACATTATGTGCCTTATCTATATGAGCCACAGCATGACAATTACAGGCATACCATTGACTGGGGGCTCTCGTGGCCAAGAGGTTAAGTTAAGGTGTTGGCCTCTCATTCAAAGGTCCCGGGTTCGAATCCAGTTAGCGACCGAAACATTTATTCTCTAATAGTGTCTCTTTTCACCTCCTTTCCTGCTCTCTAGCAATGTCCTGTCGTCTGCTTTCGTCTCCTTTCTGCCCCCATCCCCTCACCTCCTTTGCCCCTTCCTCTGGGCTCCTAACAATTTCTGCAGTCTTTCTACTGCTACTTTTTGGCCCCTTCTTACTACTGTCTTTCACTTTCAGCCACACCCCTGATCTTCTGGTAGGAAAGATCTGCACCTAGCCTTCTTGGACAAGGGTGAACAATCTCGGAGGGCCCGTGTGCAAGTAGCGCACGTTAAAGATCCCTTGGTGGTCTAAAATCGATAAGAGTAGGCTTCGGCCACAACCCGGGCAAAATTCTAAATTTCCTACCAACAGATAAAATGTCCCGCGCGCTCATATGACCTTATGCAGTGCGAGCGCCGTAAAACAGGCATTAAAAAAAAAAAAAAAACAAATACCATTGACTCAGCCTTGCGGTTACCAAAAAAAATTACAACTGTAAAAAATTCTTTGAAACAACACAAAAAATAGAACGAATAGTGAATAGTTTCTAGGCAATCTCCACTGCATTTCGTTTTATTCAAAAAGTGGCATGATATAATTAAGACAATCTTAAGTTATTGATGGGGCAAAAAAAGGAACAAAAGAAGCAGCCCAACCAACAGTATTTTTTACCACTCCAGAGTGAGGGCTCATTAGTGAAAGAAAATGTAATAAGATGAAAAAAACCCAGGTAGTCACTTCTCAGCAAATCATGAACAGTAATATAATGTAATATCTGTTACAGACTGGGCTTTGGCTTCCCACTCAATGACTTGATCATGCAGGTAAAAGAAAAGTACAAAAAGAAAAAGAAATCCAAAGCGTTCCGCTGAAAGGCATACTCAACAAAATGTATGAAATAAACATAGCCGATAAATTGTAACATACCGTACAAAGTACAAAGACGGCACAAAGGGATTAACAGGGCAGAACGCAGTAGTGAGAAGTTCCCCATACTCTTCACAACTCAAAATTAAAATAAAAAATGCAAAAATGACAAAAACATTGAAGTCGAAGGTACTAAGAAGAACAAAATCCACCGAAATTCATAGTACCTATTCAATATTCTATTCTGTACCTATTGGAAATATTGCAATCAGTAAATGGTTCTGATCAGATATAATATGTTTTGTTATGTTGTCAATTTTCAGGTACAGGTGAAGCTTTTTGTTTTTCAATCTGATGAATTTTCCACAATATGAACTTAACTAACAAAAACATGACATGAAAACAAAAAGAAATCACAATTAATAATGGGATCTGTAATACAGGCTTCCCACTCGCAAAAAATTGCAACTAAGAAGGAATGTAGTATCAGACAAAATGACTCCTACAGCAGGTTATAAAAAAAAAAAAAGTAGCAAAACGAACAGCGTCTTTAAAAAAAAGATATTATATTCATGCACCCATCAACACAATTTACATCAAATTTTAGGTTGAAACTTGACCTTTTCACATGAAGAGGTGCATCCCTTAATCCTTGAAACCAAAAACATTCAGGTGTGTTCTTTGGTTTTGTCTCCATTTCAGGTAATTCACCTGTTGTAAACTCTCTCAGATGACTATTTTGTC